TCTTTTGTTGTAAAAAATAAAGACAATTACATGAGTGCCCTTAGTAAGACACCCATCACTAAAGACAACAGTAAAAAACAATATGAAAAGAAAAAACAGGCCCATAACTAAGGCCCACTACCTACTAACACAAGTTATAAACATAACTTAAAGAAAAATAAAGAAACTAAGGCCCATTAGGCTCATTCCCACTGCACTCCCCCTCAAGCTAAGCATAGATGTCAATCATGCCCAGCTTGCTTACATAACTTTGAAGCTTTGCCTTTGGAACTCCCTTGATTAGAAAATCTGCTAGATGCTCTTCTGATGCAATGTAAGGAAGACAAACCTCTCTTGAAGCCACTCTCTCCCGTATAAAGTGTCTGTCTACCTCAATGTTCTTAATTCTATCATGCTGAACCGGGTCGTGAGCAATGTTAACAGCCTAGTTATCACAATATAACATCAGTGGCTTGTCAGATGAAAGAATTCTTTGACTCCATTCTTCTCAAATAGTCCAAATCAATGCAACTCTTGTACATCTCCAAAGAGTTCTTCACCTTCTTTTATACCACCTAAATGTAAAAGGATCAACTAACCTTTCCACTTCCAATGGCAAAGTCCACTTGCACTAATAAAGAAAAGAACCATTCCCAAATACCAACAACAAATGACAGGAGATTACTAGGTGATAAGTGATAACAAATCTCGCCATTACTTTTACAAAAAATGCACCAATTTGGGGATGCACAAAGGCCTTTTTTTTGTAGATTGTCCAATAGTATTAATCTTCCCATGACAAACCTCCCAACAAAAAGGGCTATGCCAAAGCTCATTGGAAGGAAACTGCTGAAAGGGGGTAAAAGAGCACAAAGAATAGAAAAAAGCACACACAAAGAGACCTTTAGGATGTAGGACTCAAACATGCTTATTTGATGACAAGGGATCCAAACTAATTTTGTCAATGGTTTGTAACAAATYGACCACCGAAGCAAGCTCTACGTTTCTCAAACCCCTAAAACCAAAATCCCAATTGAGATTGAAAGAGAGAGGGTAAAGGAGAAGAGTGAAATTTCACAATGGGTTCCTTTTCATATAAATAAAGAGAGTACAAAGAAGGAAAAAGAACCTTAAGAGGAGAGTTATCCACCCAAACATCTTCCCAAAACATGTTTTTATCACCAAAGCAAGCATCATACTTGATARCGCTAAGAAACCGAGGAAGAAAAAAGAATACAGTGAATAGCTAAGGGGAGGACAAAGCTGCCCAATGAGACACACCAGCATCCCAACCATTATCCAAGAGGTAATAAATTGCCACCACCTTCACCAGAGGATGACTTCCCAAGGTGAAAGCTTGTATTAACAAGTTATCAAATAGTAACCAAATGGGTAGCATCCATTCAATAGGGGGTTTTTGGTACATATATGTATGCACATAATCCTTCATATAATCACTAATAAAGTTTGACACATTTTAGGAAAAGGTAACTTTCATTAATTTTGAGAATTATTGAATGACAACTACCACCTTCCAAAAAGGTGGCCCCTCATAACATAATAAATTTACAAGCAAGCCCATAATAAAGTCTCCTTACTAACCCCTTGCTTTGCTAATCAGCCAACCTGTTTGCTGACCTCCTAACCCAGTTAAATTGTGCCCCTAGTTCCCTTGTCGAGTTCATTATTTCCCTTATGTGTTGCCTTAGGGGCCAAGTGCCCAAATTATTTGTTTTCATCCAGCCTACAACCAATTTTGAATCCCCCTCCACTTCTAACTGTTGGAAACCCAACTGTTTAGCCAATCTGAGCCCTTGAAGGAGTGCCATTACTTCTGCTCTTAGTGAATCACCCACCCCTAAAGGACCAGAGAAAAGGGCCAAAATCCTTCCTTCCATATCTCTAAATTTGGTACATTATTGATAAAAATAAGTTGCATAAAATAAAGCAAAGAAGAATATACTGTCCAACACAAACACATACACATATACAAAAATAATAATAATGAAGTGATAATAGAACCCCCTGGATAAAAAAAAAAAAAAAAATTAAGGTTATCCAATCCAAACAAAAGCCCCTTAATAAATTGGAGATTCATTGCATTATAAATAGGGAATATCATTCATGTACGTGGTTTTTATGAAACTTACAAGTTAATCCATTTCCCATTTTCTTGTTATACGATTTCCTATTAATTAGGATGTAGGATCTTGTTTTACAAAGTGCAAACAACAATTGAAATCGTGCAAAACAAGGTAACCCATCTTCAAGAGTCAGGATTACCTTAATTGAAAGTGTTTTCCTAGTCTATCTATCTACTACATGCTTCTAATGCAACCTCCAGCATCAATGACAGAATGGCAAAGCTTTGAAGGGAAAAGATAAGAAAATTTCTACCTTGTAAATTTTCACCGGATGTGTAGACCCAACGGAATGGACAAATTGAGTATTTGCAATACTAGCAGAGAGACACACTCATTGTCCAATGCTATGTATATGGCTTGTCAAATGCTATGTGCCATGTATCAAGGAGCATAGAAGGTATAATTAGAAATAGTAAAAGTAGAAAAGTCAATAATCAACTAAAGGGTTGAAATCCCCCTTTCTACATAGGTAGAAGATTTTTTATAGTAAAAGAAAATAACAAATTTAGTAAAAGAAAAAGAAAATAAAACCTATGAAAGATGATGAGATAGCACCCAAACAACATTAATAGGGAAACAATTCTGATCCTCAAAAAAGGTCCACAAATCTTTTTACTGAACCTCTATAGTGGCCCATGAAGAAGACCTAAAAGAYTCCTGTTGCAAGAACCCAATCCAATATACATAGGAAAGACATGAGACTAACAAATAAGACAATCCTATGGAAGTGCTTAGGGAAATTCAACAAGGAACAGCAAGTTACACAAAGAGTGGTAGTGCAGATAGGGGTGCAAATGGGTCGGATCATGATCTAATCCAAGTCCTATCCTATTTTGTTAGATTTGGATCACCCCTATCCGATCCGATATGTGTGTGTGTTACTTTTTTTTTGATAAACATGTGTTATTTATTTATATAATATATATATATGTGTGTTATTTATTTATTTATAAATATGTTATTTATTGCATTTTTGTAAATTTTTTATATTATTTTTATTAAAAACATGTATATATATGATGAAAATAGTTGAAAAAATACTTGTTTTTTATTTTTCTTTATTTAAACTGTTATATTTTCTTTTCCTTTTAATGATTTATTAATTTTTTAAAATGAAATCAGATTGGATCATATTTGGATATCTGGCATCCTGATCGGATACGGATTCAGATTCGGATTCAGATCAGTATTTATGAGATCGGATCGGATCTTCGGATCAGATTCAGAAATACCTTGATTCGAATCCAATCCGATCCATTTGCATCCCATTATGAATGGCATCCATGACACATTACTTCCTCATATGGTGTAAGCATATGGAAAGTGTTTTGATCTGTAACAAGTATAGGAGGAAAAAAGAAAGTAAGAAGAAGAAGAAATTAAAAGAGAAAACAAGTCAGAGAAAGTACTATTCATATTGCTATGCACAGCCACTTTATAAAAGAGCTACGAGGACCCACAAAGACTAAAGTATCAGTATCCACAGACATCATACATAAATATTAGGGGTGCTCACGGTTCCATTAACCAAACTGTGGGCACATTTTCTTAACTGAACCGGTCCCTCAGTTTTTTTAAATTACTGACCTGAAACCAAACCAAATCAATCAGTTAACCAGTTGACCAGTTCGGTTTTTCGGTTTTTATATTTATAATATATTATATAAATACTATAAATATATAATACATTATAAATATTATATATTTATAAATATATATTAAACCTTAGGGCATTTTGGGAGAGCCTCGCCTAGAGGCACGCCTCCAGGTGTAACACCTCCCACACCTTTTACAACACTAAAACTAATTAAGACTGACTATAAAGATCAAAGAACTTAAAGGGGAATTTCAGTTAATTCTTCCTATACCAAGGAAATTAGAGAGATAATCGGCATAATGTGAGTAAGATTTGGAGCAATCTAGTTTTTCCTAGAAGTTTTTGGTTAGCAGGCAGCCAAGGGCAAGATACTTAAGATCAATTTTTAAGGACAGGCATTTCAATATAGCAAGAAAATGCATATTATGTGAGGAAGCCGATTACAACACATCACTTATTTGAATATTGCAAGTTGCAAGATATCCAAGAGACTTGATTCTTCTCTCTTTATCTTCCATGTGGGTTGCAGAATACCAAGGCATACAATTGAACTCCTGCAACCATTGCTTTCAATTTAACTCCACCAAAAGGAGCTATCTTATAGAGGATTACCCTTCTAGTTACCTTTTGGGGCATCTGGAAGCAGAGCAGCAGATGGTTAATTGAAAGTCCTCTAGGCCATTGCCAATAATTTACAAGAATAATAGTTCATTCGTTATGGGTCGGACTCTTAATAGATGACAAATGGGAGGACCTAGTGAGAATTAGTGGTTTTTGCTATCATTTAGAGGAAACATGATTTCCAGAAATTTCAAAAAGTCTGACAGTCTCCTAGGTTAGAAAGAAAGAGCAGGCCATGAAAAGGTAGTCTTCTGAGAATGAGTGGATTACCCTTCTAATTACCTTTCAGGGCATCTGGAAGCAGAGCAACAGACGATTAATTGAAAATCCACTAGGTCATTGCCAAGAATATACGAGAACAATATTTTCATCGGTCATGGGTTGGGCTCTTGTGAACAATTCAAGGATATCATAAGAATAGACTCTGATAACAAATGGGAGAACCTAGTGAGAGTTAGGGGTTTTGCTATCATATAGAGAAGACAAGATTTCCAGAAAATTCAAAAAGTATGACAGTCTTCTGTGTTAGAAAGAAGGAGCAGACCATGAAAGGTACTTCTTATGGGCATCCAGTTTCACATGCATATCCTAGCAATTATTTTTCTTCCATATCCCAGGAGGAAGTTACTAAACAAAAGGATGTGGGGGATCGGGATAACCTGCTGGGAAAGTATTTCACGAAGAATTTCCTGACGCGAAGCATAAATTGGCAAGCCATCCTCAAGCCGCCGGAGCTCTCGCTTTATCAATTGATGAATTCGACTCCAGTCAAAACTGCCACTGAACTTGAACACCTCAACTCCATAATCACAACATTCCTGGGACTGTTTCCCCTCAAGGTGATCGAGAATACACCGCATAGCAGATTTAAATTCGCTTATTCTCTTGGAGATCAGCTTCCTCTCTGCATAAAGACCTTTTCTTTCAGCATCAAGCATCTTGAAAGTACCGGGCTTTTGAGGCTTCCGGAGTTTATTCGAGATTTTAGCAATCCCATCCAACGTAACTTCCAGCTTCTTCTGCAAACGCCTGACAGCCTCCCCGTTCATAAGACTCTGGACACGCGTTGCAAAAAGGGCTTTGATCCGGTCCCTCTGCTCGTTGACAAAAACATTGGGTATGACGACAGGATCTAGAAGATGAGCACCGTCGAGGCGCCGTTCCCAGAAGAAGGTCAGCGCTTCTAAGGCGTCGCTCCATTGCTGGAAATACAACCTGGCAGCAACAAGAACCGTCGGAAAAACCTCGCAGCGTTCGGGAGTCGAAGCACAACCAGCGAGCAGAACCTCCACGTCAGATTTGGTAATAGCGCGACGACCGGAGCGAAGCTCGACGACAAAGTTCGAACGTCCATATTGAAAAGAATAAACCATTGAAATAATCCTATCCTGCCGGAATTTCGGGGGGAAGTACCTTTCCCTTCCCTGGTAAGGAGGCCTTACCGAGGGACAATTCGCCGGAACGACTCCTCTCCGGGAACTTGTGGTCGGTTCGTGCCGAAATGTAATGGGAGAAACGCCTCTCCTCATCCTTTCTTCCGTCTCTAAAAAAGCTAACGAAAGGAGAACCAATGAAACGAAACCCTACAAATGGTTGGTTCTGTAGTAGTAGAAGAAGAAACACAGTCAGTCCCGGGCTAGTGGGAGATGAAACACCCGAAAAATAAAGTCGGTCCTTTTTGACTCTCTTCTGTTACTCCCGCTTTAAATATCTCGCGCGCTCCAAATCTCCAGATTGTAGAAACTAGAAACTGGAAAGAGCGTGAGCGTGATAATTTTGATTAACCAACCGATTCATGGTTTCCCTTTGATAAAGTAAAAAAAAAGAGGCGGGGGTGGAACCTCGTACGATTCATGGTTTCCCTTTCAACTTTTCCTTTATTTCAACTTTTCCTTTATCTACAATAACATGAGATAACCTTCGTGAGATTACAAGAGGAGAGATCCGACCTTGGAGACATTTTATAATTAGATTATAATTCCCCTCAATAATTGTTGAGAACTTGTTGGAGTTCATAACCAAACTATGAGCTTCCCATGCTGCTCGTGCCTTCAATGTTAACATCAATAGAAGAATAACTCAAGTTATATGTTTTATAATTCAAAACCTTGCCCAAATGGTTTCTTGCTGTAGTGGCAAAGTATAGAAACCATTTCTAGTGCAAGGAGCATTGAAGTTAATTTTAATTTCATCTAGATTTGACGTGTTCATGGGTCGGGCTTTGAGCCTAACTTTATATTGCATCGGGCCCAAACTTCGGGCTGGGCCCATTCAAATTTTGGCAAAAGCCAAATTCGAGCCCGGCCCATAAACAGGTCTAACTCAGATATAGGAGAATCCAAGAAACATTTTTTATTTTCTTAACATCTTTTCTATTGTTTGGTTCCCCATTAACCGTCCAAGACTCATTAAGAGATTTAAAAGCCTGTCGAGAATAATTTAAAGGGGGTCTTCCTTATTGTTGAAAGTTTTTTATTCCTGTTCTTCCAAATAAACCAAAGGATGAAGGCACATTTTTCTTTCAGATGAATCCGTTCAATCAAATCTTTATTATGGATTTCAGTCCACCACTCTTCTAAATTCAGACTAACCCGATCTGAGCTAGTATGGTTAATATTTGACATTTCCCAAATTTGTTTTGAGAATGAGCAATCAAAGAAAATATGATAGATGTCTTCCGTGGAACCACACCAACTACAATCTCCATCAATATTGAGCCTTCTCCTTCTAAGGAAAGCCTTTGCTGGACATCTGCTATTTAGGAAGACATACATAAACAACTTTATTTTTTGAGGACTTTTAAGGTTTCAAACTAGTGAGTTCCAATTCAAAGGGTTAGCACAAGGGCAACTCGCTCCACACTGTATTGTCCTCCTTATTGTCCATGGGAATAAAAGTCGATTTTATTTTATTCCAAATATCAAGATGACCCACACTTTGAATCATATTCTCCTTCCACACCCCTCTTTTTTTATCAATGAAATCACTTACAAGATCATTTTCAAGAGAACACTAAGAAGGGGTACTATAATCTAATAAGGTGATCCGCCAACCTAAGAAGGGGTACTATAATCTAATAAGGTGATCCGCCAACCCAGTTATTTGTCCAAAAATCTGATTCAAAGTGAATGGAGATCTTTAGAATCAGAGCAATGATTTTCTGAAATCTGTTAGGAATATTCTTAGAAAATTGAATTGTTGACTTGTTGAAATTTGGGCTTTGACATGAAGCCCYAGCAAAATCAGGAATAATTTATTTAATCCTCAAGCCTGTAGTAATTGTGCATTCAGCAAAGATAATGCAATTATCCGCAAATTGGAGAATAGGAATTTTAGGGCAACCCTTAGTGACTCTACACCCAATAGGGTTCACATCAGTCTCCACTTCTTTCCTAACCTTTCTAGTTAACGCCTCAACACACAAGACAAAAATGTAAGTGGAGAGATGATCACCCCGTCTTACCTCAAGAAGGGGTGAATCCTCTAGAGGGAGCCCCATTTATCAAAACTTGATAAGAAACCGTTATGATGCATTCCATGACCCATCCAATCCACTTCTCATGGAAGTCAAGTTTCCTAAGAATTTATTCAATGAAATTCCGTTTCAACCTATCATAGGTTTTCTCCATGTCGATTTTACAAGCCATGATTCATTTCCTCCCTTTTTCTTTCTCATAGAGTAGAACATCTCATGAGCAATCARAATATTATCATTTATTTGTCTATTTGGAACAAAGGCACTTTGAAAAGAATAAATAATATTTTCAATAATAGGTTTCATTATCTTAATCTGAATTTTTGAGATAACATTACATAAACTGATTGGTTTATAGTTATTAACTATTTTAGGATTATCAAACTTTGGGATTAATGTTATAAAAGTTTTATTCAAATTGGGACACAATTTTCTAGTATGAAATAAAACTTCACTGTCCCACAAAAATACTCCTTAATAATATTCCAGAACTTCTTAAAGAAAAGATCATTAAGACCATCAGGACTCGGAGCTAAGATCACCAATAGACTGAAGGGCATCATAGATTTCTCTGTCACATCCCTAATGATGCTCTTGTTCTGCTTATTAGATATATTCCTAGTGATATCTTTGATAAAGTTATCAGCCCCAAAAATACCTTCACTTTTAAATCTATCCCCAAATTCCTTACAAAAATAATTTGTAATCTGTAAGTGATCTTCAATTCTCTCTTCATCTCTGTTAGTAATATAAGTAATTATATTTCTCGCTTTTCTAGTAGTAGTCGTAAATTAAAAGAATCTATTATTTTTATCTCCAAGCTTAATCCAATCAATTATGGACTTCCGAGCCCAATAAGTTTCCTCCCTCRTAAGAATATTATTTAATTGTATCTGAAGGGCCTTATCCAAATTACTCAAAGCTCTATTGCTTTCATCATCAACCAACTTCATTTGCACTTTTTCAATCTCCCTAATAATTTCTTGCTTTTTCTTGAAAATAATACAAAAGTGCACTTTATTATTCCATTTTTTCAGATTAATCACTAAATTATTCATTTTTTAATAAATTTCAYAGCTCTAGAACCATTCGTCTCTACCTTCCAAACCTGGTCCACCAGATCCTTAATATTTGGATCGAGGCACCACATTGCCTCAAAGCGAAACGGTTCAGCCCATAATTCTTCTGACAATTGGTAATCATCAGCAAGGGAGAGTGATCCAAAGCCATAAAGGGGTGATTTTTTAGGATGGTTATAGGAAAAAAGACTCTCCACTCCTCATTAGCAAGAGCCCAATCCAAACGCTCCCATGTAGATATATTTTTCTAAGTAAAAGGATTTCCTTTCATTGACCCCAGGCTGGCTGCAACACTCATCCGACCCGCACAATAATGTGATGGTATGGTGAATAATGGGTTCGACTATTCTAGAGCCACACGAGTACACTAGTAACCATTTACTATTATTTACTCGTTGAGGGGTACAACTTGGGTGGGCCCATCCCGAGTTCAAATTGATCCAACCCAAAATTTTATACGTATTTGGCTTGGATTTTCGACCTTCAGGTTGGGTTTCGGTCCAAGAATTTAGGCTATTTTATTTTTTGAGTTGGGCCCATGCCTAATTCTTAGGTAGCTTAAACCTGGCCCAAACTTATATATGTTTATACATACACATGTATATATGTAAATTTTTGTATACATATTTATCTATATACATTTGCATATATACATACTTGCATACATATTATATATATATATATATATATATAAATGCATACATACATGCACAATTTTAGAATGGGTTCATCAACCAATCCAAGTCTAACCAGGGCTCGAGCCTAATTCAAGTGCATCAAATAACAGTGTGGGTTGGGCTCGAATTGCAAAGATTGGGCTTGACCTCAGATTCGAGTTTTAAGCCCAAATTTTAAGGTTGACTATGAGTTGACCATAAACCCGACCTAACCCGCCTGACTTACACTCTTACTCATGGTACAAAATTGAGTTGAATCGCCGGCCAACAAAACACGTTCCAACACCTTATCAATACAATCTGACACCGCACATCTCGTACATGATGGGCCCCAGTCTCATGGTGARATGTGTGGTGTCAGATCATGTTGATAGGTGGTTGGAACGTTTTTGCTGGTAGGAGGTCCCAACTCGTACAATTGTATTGCTTATAAAGTCTCTAAAAGAGATCGAACCACATTCCAATAACCCATTCTAGTCGTACATTGAGGAATATCTCGCATGAATTATAAAAATGTTCCTAATGTAAGACTGTAAGTAATAGATCATTATCCTCTCTAAGACATATGGGGGGGGGGGGGCGCACAATAACTCTTGGGCCAGTTCATTTTGCTTACATGGGTAAGCAAGTTTATCCGGTTAAGCGATTTCCGAGCAAAAGTTACTAAAATAACTTCAGTGCCAACTGCCAAGATACTTCTACTTATTCACTTACCTCAAAAAGAGAGATGGGAGGGGATTAGCATTTTCTTATCCACCCTATAGGAGGGGAGGGTCTCAGTTACTCAAGTTTATTAATACTCACCAGAATTCGCTTATTATAGGATCCATTATAGTGAAGTAAAAACATAGGGAAGTTGGTCAATTCGCAATTGATCAACTCACCCTTCACGAAAAACAAGCAAACAAACTAGGCATGGGTAAGCAAGTTTATCCGATTAAGTGATTTCTGGGCAAAACTTATCAAAGTAATTTTAGTGCCAGCATTCTTCTACGTATTCATTTACCTCAACGAGAGGTGGGAGGGGATTAGCATTTTTGGCAAGTGGACAAACACCTTATCCACCCCTCCGGGAGGGTCTCAGTTACTCAAGGTTACTAATATTCTCTAGGATTTGCTTGTAAAAACGTAGGAAAGTTGATCGATTACCTAATAAACCAACTTAGGCTTCACCAAAAAACAAGCAAACAAATTAGGCTTTGGTACATTTTTACCAAAAGAAAATATCAGGCCCCACAAATCGGGTARGCCCAACCCAATTCAACAAAACTTTGTTTCAACTAAGGCAATGTAACCCGGGCAGGTTCTGTTGGGTTAACGATTAGTCAAAGCCCAACCCTAGAGGTGTAAATTTCAAGATCCGCCCTGGTCCAACTTGAGATGAAGTTCAAGTTTATTAATCAGGCCCAATGCAAAGCTTAACCCAATAAAACTCAGGTCAAGCCATCAGGGTTCATGCTGAAAGTTGGTCGGGTCAGGTTTGAGTGGGCCTAGTAGGTTAATTAAATTTGAAAGAATTTGTGAATATACTATTAGTCTTTATGGCCCAACTTAAAAATATAATTAAAAATATAAAATATAATTTTATTGATAAATATC